TCATAGACGGTTTACCATATTTTTTGCTCTATAAGACGCATTTTTCCCTCCTAAAAAGTAAGAGGAAATGTGTGTGCGTCTCATGGAGCGAATGCAGGCGGGAGGCTCTGCTCAGCACTCCCTTTAAAGAGCCGCGTGGAGCGTGTGTGCGGCTCTTGGGTCTTTTCCCCGAGGAGGGAGAAGGGCAGTTCGTATGTCCCTTCTCCCTCCTTGGGGAAAAGCCCCCAAGAGCCGCAAACACGCTCCATGCAGCTCTTTAAAGGGAGCGCTGAGCAGAGCCTGGGGTGCATACAGGCTCTGCTCAGCGCTCCCTTTAAAGAATATTTTTTCCCTTGAATTCCCCTTCTAAAAACTAGGTGCGTCTTATGGTCAGGTGCGTCTTATGAAGCGAAAAATACGGTAATTCTCCCAGGTAAGGCCTGGGAGAAGAGGACTGATCTTGTCCGGCGCATAAAGATATGTAACAAAGGCGCTAGGCGCACCTCTATGGAGAAAGCATTCCACAAGTGGGGAGCCACTGCAGAAAAGGCCCGTTCTTGGGTTGTTGCCCTCCAGACCTCTCACGGAGAAGGTACGTGAAGATGATTGCAGGGTCTGGGTAGGTTCATACACAGAGAGGTGGTCCTTGAGATATTGCGGTCTTGTGCCGTTTAAGGCTTTATAGGTCAAAACCTGCACTTTGAATTGAGCCTGGAAACTAACTGGCAGCCAGTGCACTCAAGCCAGGATTGGTCTTATATACTCAAACTGTCTTGTCCTAGTGAGCACCCTGGCCACTGAATTCTGCACAAGCTGAAGGTTCTGAACTGTCCTCAGAGGCAGTCCCAAGTATAACAAGTTGCAGTAATCTAAGTACAGTCATCTAACTGGGCGCCACACTTTAAGAAGGATATTGACAAGCTGCAACATGTGCAGAAGAGGGCAACCAAGATGGTCAAGGGTCTTGAAACCAAGCCATATGAGGAACGGTAGGAAGAGCTTGGTATGCTTAACCTGGAAAAGAGGAGACTGAGAAGAGATATGATAGCCATCTTCAAATATCTCAAGGGCTGTCACATGGAAGATGGAGCAAGCTCGTTTTTTCCTGCTCTGGAGCGTAGGACTAAAACCAATGGATTCAAGTTACAAGAAAGGAGAGTCCAACTAAACATCAGGAAAACTTTCTGTTACTAAGAGATGTTCGGCTGTGGAATGGAATCCCTCAAGAGGCTGTGGACTCTCTTTCACAGGAGGTTTTTAAGCAGAGTTTGGATGGCCATATGTCTCAGATGCTTTAACTGAGATTCCTGCATTGAAGGGGTTGGACTAAATGACCCTTGGGGTCCCTTCCAACTCCATTACAGTGTTTTGATGGGAAAGAAAATCCCTTGTGTCTCTTCTGTGTGCTCTGCTGTTTGGCAGAGTAGTGGGTGGGAGCAGTGTTTTTTTCTAAAAAAAAATGTTTAGGGGTACTCTCATTTTCCTACTCATATTGAAATACAATGAGGCCAAACTTAGATTCACAAAATGCTTAGGAGTATGCGTACCTCCAGGAAAAAAGCATAGGGTGGGAGTGTGTATCTAAATATGTGTCAGCTTGAGTGTCTGCAAAGAAAGTAGGGGATGCATGAATATGTGTGTGGGCTCGTGCATGCATGCACACAAGAAACAGTGCCTGAATGTGTGAATATTTGCGTGCCTGTGGCAAGTGTGCACTAATAGTCCACATCTCCTAGAAACTTTTATTAAAAAACTAACACTGGCTGCTATAAACTTTACATCCCTCCCAAGTTAGAAAGAGGAGAATGGAACAGCCCTGGATGAGTTATGCTTCCTCAGAAGGGGAACAATTCCAGTAAAGCAGCAGTCTGAGTCATAAGGAAAGGAAGTGCTTCTATTATCACAGCAACTAACAGCTCAAAATACCATTAAAAAAATTATACTTTCACACATTATATTGCTCTAGTAAAACAATAGCACATCTACTTTGACTGCCAGCAAAGTAAAGAGGGCACTTTCTCTGGAAGAGAAGGAAGAAATGCTACATTAATCTGACCACAGTGAACACAAACTGAGCAAGATTACATGGACTCCTTCCAATCACTAGTTTCTGCAGTTAGTTAACTAATAATTATGTGCAAGGGAGTTGATTTCCAAAATAAATCTTGGTGTTACAGTTTCAAATGACTGATGAGTAAGGAAGATTTGGCTGCTTACAAAGGTGAAAGGAAACAGAATGTTGTCTCCTGCTAAATTAAAATCAGAGGAGACTCATTGAAATTAATAGGCCTAAATTAGTCATGTACACTCAATATGCCAGCAAATTTGGAAAACTCAGCAGTGGCCAGAGGATTGGAGAAGATCAGTCTACATCCCAATCCCAAAGAAGGGAAGTGCCAAAGAATGCTCCAACTACCGCACAATTGCACTCATTTCACACGCTAGCAAGGTTATGCTTAAAATTCTACAAGGCAGGCTTAAGCAGTATGTGGACCGAGAACTCCCAGAAGTGCAAGCTGGATTTAGAAGAGGCAGAGGAACCAGAGACCAAATTGCAAACATGCGCTGGATTATGGAGAAAGCTAGAGAGTTCCAGAAAGACATCTACTTCTGCTTCATTGACTATGCAAAAGCCTTTGACTGTGTCGACCACAGCAAACTATGGCAAGTTCTTAAAGAAATGGGAGTGCCTGATCACCTCATCTGGCTCCTGAGAAATCTCTATGTGGGACAAGAAGCTACAGTTAGAACTGGATATGGAACAACTGATTGGTTCAAAATTGGGAAAGGAGTACGACAAGGCTGTATATTGTCCCCCTGCTTATTTAACTTATATGCAGAATTCATCATGCGAAAGGCTGGGCTGGATGAATCCCAAGCCGGAATTAAGATCGCCGGAAGAAATATCAACAACCTCAGATATGCAGATGACACAACCTTGATGGCAGAAAGTGAGGAGGACTTAAAGAACCTTTTAATGAGGGTGAAAGAGGAGAGCGCAAAATATGGTCTGAAGCTCAACATCAAAAAAACGAAGATCATGGCCACTGGTCCCATCACCTCCTGGCAAATAGAAGGGGAAGAAATGGAGGCAGTGAGAGATTTTATGTTCTTGGGCTCCATGATCACTGCAGATGGTGACAGCCGTCACGAAATTAAAAGACGCCTGCTCCTTGGGAGAAAGGCGATGGCAAATCTAGACAACATCTTAAAAAGTAGAGACATCACCTTACCAACAAAGGTCCGTATAGTTAAAGCCATGGTTTTCCCAGTAGTGATGTATGGAAGTGAGAGCTGGACCATAAAGAAGGCTGATCGCCGAAGAATTGATGCTTTTGAATTATGGTGCTGGAGGAGACTCTTGAGAGTCCCATGGACTGCAAGAAGATCAAACGCATCCATTCTTAAGGAAATCAGCCCTGAGTGCTCACTGGAAGGACAGATCCTGAAGCTGAGACTCCAATACTTTGGCCACCTCATGAGAAGAGAAGACTCCCTGGAAAAGACCCTGATGTTGGGAAAGATGGAGGGCACAAGGAGAAGGGGACGACAGAGGATGAGATGGTTGGATAGTGTTCTCGAAGCTACAAACATGAGCCTGACCAAACTGCGGGAGGCGGTGGAAGACAGGAGTGCCTGGCGTGCTCTGGTCCATGGGGTCACGAGGAGTCGGACACGACTAAACGACTAAACAACAACAACAACAACAATTCCAGCGGATCTATTCTGAGCATAACAAACATTGAATACAATACAGAATACAAACCAAATCAAGGATACTGCCAGTTCTAAGCCGAGAAAGCACAAGGACCAAGAATCTCCATCAGGAGTAGCCAGCATGGTGTCATTCTGATGTTATAGACTACAACTAGGGATGTTTTTGACAACCGAATCCCAGCTATGTCCAGGAAATTGCAGACGCATGGCAACCCTACTACAACTCAAACCAATCTCAAAGAGTGGTAGTCAAAAACTTGTGTAGCATACTACATTGCCTACCCCTGATCTACATAGTAGAGCTGATGTGGGGAGCCTTTGGCTCTCCAAATGTTGCTGAACTACAACTCCCATCAGTCCCGGCAAGCATGGCCAATGGCCAGCGATGATATGAATTATAGCCCAGCAACATCTGAAGCACCCAAGGTTCCCCATTGTTATATTAGACACTGATAATTTCTTGCCAGTTTCTTTAACACAGTAACGCCATCTGCCAGGAACCTAGCCCACACCAGGATGTCAGACAATGGATTTTAAGACTATGCACCACCACTGAAGATTAGGCTGCAGGAAGGACCCAGAAAAAGACTACCGTAGATGGGAATTATGCTAGAGTTCTTAATGTGATACTCCCCAATCCCTATAAAAGTTTCCAGGTGAGTGAACAAGTTTGGTTACAGCAGCACAGAGACTCTGTTGATCTATACCCAGTGGTAGACCTGCCACCAATTACTTTGTCCCCACCTCTCCCTGCCCCAGACTTAATGGGAACTCATAGAAGTATAGGCAATAAATGTTTTCTTGTTCCAAGTTTTGCTAGTTTGCTAGCAAATGGCCTAAAACAGTTCTAAATTCTAAACAGCCTATCAATGATTTACTACACTTCCATCTTGACAAGACTGCTGATCCTCTCTCTCTCTTACCCTCTTGCCTAATAATCTTCTTCGCAAGACACTGACAAGGTGAAGGGACACAAATACCTTACAGGTTAGATCTACTACAAACATCCACACCTCTTTCGCCTAGGCAGACGCATGCTTTAACTTTTGTATTAAGAAGAGTTTAGGTATCTAAATTATTATTTTTAAGGCAGGGGAACACCCACATACTGACAAAATATGACTATTGGGGAAATCTAGGTAAAGGAACCAACTTTCGCCGCCTCCTTTAAAAAAGTGAACCAAACATGGAGGATGGAATTTTCAAAATGTTTTTAAGTGAATCAAAGGGACTTGAGGAAGTGATCTGGATTCTCAGACTCTTGGATTATTGCAATGTTTCTATTGTGCTACATGTTTACTCACACTCTTTCATCATGCCTATGTCAACGCAGCGCTTCAGCCGGCAGGCTTGACAGTGTCGCCGGTTATCTTTGGTGATTTTACAATCGCCATTGAAAGGACATGTGAACATCGCTTTCCGTTTCATGCTCCGCCTGTGGGGGGAAAAAGCCACACAAAATATATAATCTTTGCTTGCTTGCTTTTAGGAAAATACATCAGTTTTGCATAGATACAGTTCAGAAAACAAACAGTGTGGCAGACCTGCATACAAAACGAGCTAAATGGGCAACATGGGTATTTACCAGGCATGGAATAAATATCCCCTACATAGCTACTGTTCTGTTTCTAAGAAATCTGGTTATTTTATTTAAAAATCTGCCCTGTTACTATACTTTGAAAACAGTAACCATCTGCACGTCTTCATGGTTTTCTTTCTAAAAAGAACTTAATATTTTAAGGAACACAAACAGAAAAACAGTTTCTTGTCCAACGGATGCAACTTGTACCATAAACAGGAAAACATTAACCACAGTCTGAATGGCTCAAATAGAGCCATCTAAAGTTGGAGAACTATTTAGGAACTGGATAGAACAAACAAACAAACAAACAAACAAACAAACAAACAAACAAACCCAGAATTCAACTCAAAAACAAAGATGTAGCATTTGACAATTTTCAAGCATTTCTGATTACTGTACTTTATAAATCTGAGGAAAAATAGCCCAAAGCAGCAAAATGAAAGAATTTCCAGAAAAGACTAACTGGTTTGCTCCATGAGTTTCCATTGGCAATAATCGTCAACAGATACATGAAGTTGACAAAGAATGTGGTAGGAGCATAAATACACAACAGTCTGCAAAGGTGACACATATAGACTCAGAAGAGAAGCCCGAATTGCCTAGTGTTTTTCTTTACTTAAAAGACTTGTGAGACCCTGATAAAGCAAACAGCTTGGATATTATCTCAATGGTCTACTGGACAAAGAAATTCAGAGAATGACAAGAGGCAGTATCACTGGAGCAGGAATCAGGAGCTTTCCCATACTGGTGTAGCCCAAATACGTTAGCTCCTGGATTGTAGCTTCTTTGCTACCTCCTCCTTAATTGTTTTGTTGCTGCGCTGTCCTGAGCTAAGTTATAGTTTGGCTTACTGTGTTATCTGAATCTGGCTCGTGGTTTCCCTCTCTCCAGACTAATCATGAACTATAACCAAGGTTTGCCATTTGGTTTATGGCTCATGGTTTTTCTGGGGAAGCTAAACCACGAGGAAAGGCTCAAATGACACATGAAGACAAACTATGTCTCAGCTTGACACAGCAACAAGATGACCAGGGACAAGAAAAACGGCCACGATCTCCTCTCTTGGAGCCTATGTGTTCAGATGAAACCATAGTTTAGTGTGACGTACAAACAAGGCCACCGTGTAACCTTGGAAGAATGGCAATCTCCTTTTCTTCACTGTTTTATGAAGTCATTGAAAAAAGTAAGTCTCTCTCCTTATACAAGGCAATTGAAAGCAAATGTCCTTCGCTGTTGCTGTCGTTAGGAAGCATTTGACCTCTCTACCTTTCCCCTAGTTGCACATTTCTGTTTATGTAAATAAATGTAATTGGGTATAACATTGAAAAAGGCTGACTAGACTGGGTGGACTGGTTTAAAAACTAGCTAGGTGTGAAATGCATTTTGCCTTTGCAGATTTTTCTTGGTCTGTCTTTTAAGGAGCAGGGGAAGAATCTTTGAAGGGACTCCTCTGCCTTCCATAGAATGTACTCTTCATGCAGTTACGTAAGCAAATGATGAAATACTGTACTTACAGGAGTGAGCTTGGTATGCTTAACATGGCATAAGCCAGTAGGCAGATGCAGGACATAAATTGCCCATCTCACTGATCCAGTGTTACAAGATCGGTAGTGAGATATTCCATCACAAGATGGTAAAGTGAACAGTATACTAGCTTTTGAGTGACACATGAGTTACTAATGAGGAAAATGAGAAGAAGCTTGCTATACTTCCAAGGGATTGCTGAAAAAGATCAATACCCTAAGACGTTCCACTCATCACTGCTCCAATATCCCACAAGTGTGACAAGTCAGACTGCAAATTCAGGGCCAGTTCACACTTTACAAGAGAGATGAGTCTTATTGTTTGTTTACTGTATCCCATTGTGTGAAAGCAGTGAAAGGTTAAAGGCAGGTGTTATGTCAAGCACAAGGTGCTTATGCTGGAGACCCACCACCGGCCATGATTCCCTGGCTCATACTTAAGCACTTTTTTTGCAGATAGGCATCTCCAAACACCCTTTTCAGAGCTCACTGTAGCAGCACTGGTGTACATGTAGCAACCCCTATGTAAACACAACTGACAATCACCAAAGGGCTTCTACAACTCACCCTTAGAAGTGGAATGCCCTGTGACTGCATGTATGCCAACCTCGTCTAGCTCTGTACTAGACTGGTAACCATTCAGAAATGAGAACATGATGCATGTGGACATGCAAGCGCAGATTAATTCAGTCTCCTCTAAATGGGCCACTAATTAATTTTAGTCACCACCATCTGTTAACGGGGAAATATAATGTAGCCCATGACACATGGGGAGGATGGGAACATCTGTGAATAATTCAGTGATTTATCCTTAATAAAAGACTTGTAAATTAGCTCACTTAAGCTATAGCTGCAGTAAAGGAATGCTGCCTGTCTCCAATACTAACAGCAGGGGCAAGGGCAATTGAATGTGGAAGTTCCTTATTTTAATCTTGACCTGTTAAGAGCTGAATCACACTTTACATTGCAGGGGTGCTACACACAAGCCCAGGGTTTGGAGCAGCATATGTTGTAAAGTACAAAGCAGAAATGCATGTTTGTAGTAATATAGTAGCCATGTACCAGGGAGCTGAAAGTGGCCACAACTGTCTAGCTTATGTTCACTGCATATTTAGAAACATGCGTTTTTGCTCCATGTTTTGCTGTTCTACTTATTGTTAGCATACTCTTCATATTGTATAAATGTGAATCAGCTCATATTAGCAAATAACCCTGGTAGTTACAATAATCACTGCCCCAAAGCAAAAAAAACAACAACTGTAAACCCCAAGTGAACCTAAACCAAAACAGAATATGTCAAAACTAATGAAATCTAAATAAATAAAAACTTACTTTGAGATTTACGATTGCCTTGAAAAAATTTGCCCTAAAGGACTGGGAATACAAAAACAAAGCTCTGCCACCAAAAGGGTAAGTTTTTCTTATGAAGTAAAACTGTTTCCTAACACATACAACTATCTAGTGCAGCATGCCTCAGAACAGGTCCCCATGCTTCTCATTAGAATAACCCATAAGTAGAAGTGTCTCTGCTGCACATCTACTGGTCCCGTCTTTGGCCAGAAGTTACCTTATTTTCCAGGAATCTGAGTCGCCTTATTTTCCAGGAATCGGAGTCCTCTCCAATCAACCATTTGGTTGCACCTGCTCCTAACTTGAGAGGTCTTACTTAAAGTCACACCCTCTTCTCCCCACCCACCAGATAGACCTTAAACACTTTCTACTTTGCCAATCAGGAAGTTCATTAAAGTTGCTCAACGGTCAACTATATTTTGCTTGAATCTCTCATGCACTAAGCAAGATATCTGGCATCTTCCACTGCCAAATTGGAACAGAACCCACACCTGCTTAGAAAGAGGACTCTGAACCTTGGGGAAGGGAAGGATAAATCAAAGACGGAATAACAAACTCTAATGATGCAAGAAAGAGCCAAAATTATAGCTCTAGGGCAGAAGAAGGTGGAGGGAGTCCTTCTTCAATGCAGACTGCCACGGAGGTGGCCACTGCGAGGAGGACAACAGCAATGACACTGGTGGGGTGGTGACTGGGGCCACTGGGCAGGGGCAATGTGCCGTGGAGGAGTGCTGGCACTGGGGAGCTGGTGCTACTGTTGCCTTTCAGGGGGCCGGTGCTGCAGGACATGTGCCTGGGCAATGAGTGCCAGCTGCAGCAATGCCTGGCTGAGGCTGCCCTGTGCACCCTGTTGGTGTGCCAAGCCGGCTTGGGAAGAGACCCTTACCAGGCAGAGGACGACAGCTCACAGCGCTTCATGCCACATCTGAACTTCTTGGAAGCCGACCTGCTGCGCCATGTGAACTTCCACATCACTGCCAACAAGCCGATTGTCTTCTTGCACACCCAGAAGACAGGCAGCACCACCTTCAGGTGCCACTTGTTGTGCAACATTCAGCTGGAGAAGCCCTGCAAGTGCAAGGCTGGGCAGAAGAGGTGCGCCTGCTTCCGTCCGGGCAAACAAGAGACCTGACTCTTCTGCTTCTCTACTGGCAGGAGCTGTGGGCTTGCTGACTGCACCAAGACACCAACTGCACATGCCTTGAGAGTTAGCACAGTGTGAAGGAAAGTCCTCACTCTTATTTAGGTTCAGGAGAAAAAGAGAAACTTCCCTCAGTGCTACACCTCTCTCATTACATTTTTACCAAGCAACCTTACATCAAGAACTCCTGAGAGAATTAAATTGAGGAAGGGAGCTTCCAGACTGGCCTACCGAGCACTCATAGCAGCATGGCTATATGTTAGCAGGGTGGTTATATGACATTGTCAGCATTTGGTTGTTATCCTGCATAAGATAATTACACCACATAGTGCAGGACAACCATAAATTTTTCTGTGGACCAACAGCCCATCTGGAAATGTCCCAGGACCCCGTAAAGAAACACACACACAACCCGACTGATATGAATAGACAAATCAGCAATGCTACATATACAGTGGTGCCCCGCAAGACGAATGCCTCGCAAGACGAAAAACTCGCTAGACGAAAGGGTTTTCCGTTTTTTGAGTCGTTCCGCAAGACGAATTTCCCTATGGGCTTGCTTTGCAAGACGAAACGTCTTGCGAGTTCTTGCGAGTTTGTTTCCTTTTTCTTAAAGCCGCTAAGCCGTTAATAGCCGCTAAGCCGCTAATAGCCGTGCTTCGCAAGACGAAAAAACCGCAAGACGAAGAGACTCGCGGAACGGATTAATTTCGTCTTGCGAGGCACCACTGTAGAATGAAGAAAAGACACCCAGTATTTCATATTCAGTACATTGCAAAGGTATTAATTATCTAGTCTAGTTTCTACAATTCTTATCAGTATTTAAAATTTTATCATAGATATCAGACCCGTAACAACCAATCCAATATGAACAAACTTCAAGAGGTGTCACAGATGACACCGGGAAGGCAATGCACTCTAAAAGTTGAAGACTATATTTCCCAATAGAAGAGAAACCACTGAAAGGCCAATACCAAATGGCTTCCCCAACTTTAGTTTTGCAAAACATCTCGAGGGATTTGCCATGAAGGACCAAGTGGACTATATTCTATTTTGATCAGTCAGTGTTTGTGAAGCAGTTGAGAACTTTGTTGTTTCAGGTTTAAAATGCAGTTACTCAAGTGTTCCCTAACGAGACATGCGCATTTCTTTATGAAGGCCTTCGCAGAAAGGGTGAAAGGCAAGGCGTTCGGCAAACTCTTTGAATCATGCTCAGGAGAGGAAAATGTCCAGAGGGGGAAGTAGTTATGCGACAGACATCTCATTTCTAACATCCTGGTTTGGTCTCAAGGTGTCATTATTGTTGCTTTGAAACAAAATAGCCTAGTGCAAGTTTCCCCTATGTGACCTTTTCCATTCACCTCCAAGGTCAGATAATGCTGCAGGGATTTTCAGTCTTAACCCCGTGCATCATTCATGCCATTGGCGTCCCTGCAGCCACCACTATGTCAAGCAGCGCAACTGGCATTTGCCTTCAGCACGTTTTCAGAAAAAGATCAAGCGCTGCTGGTCTGAAGTCATGGAAACTCCAGCTTCCTTGGCAACTTACCTCAACTATTGTGCCACATTTAATGGGCCAGAACTAGATGTTCCAAGAGATACGGAGCAGCAGCTGCTCCATGTCTCTTTCTGCTCTCTTCCTCGTAACATCGAGCATAACACAACGCATGGCGTGACATCATTGCGCTGTGAATTTCCCATCCTAGCTCCTTCTAAACAGCCTCCTCCGAAGGCAGATCATTCTCCTGCTTGACTGCATTGGTAGAGAATGAATTGTCCAGTTGCACTCAATGCAAAATGGCCTGCCATCAGAGGGAAAACTTCCACTGTATCTCTTTCAGAGTCTTTGCTCCGGGTCTGCCTTCTTCCAACCTTTTGGGGTTTAAGAGAGGGGTGCCTCAAATTTTAATCCAAAAAAGGCATCCCTCAGATATCAGAAATTTGGATAGTATTGTCCTATAAACCTAGTTTCCATGAAAGGAGAAAATCCTCCTTGGCCAGATATTTGAGCATAAGCTTTTCTGACAAATTCTGAAAATGATTCAGATTTTCTTAACATTTCACTGGGAGTGTGGTACACGGCTCACCAGGCCTCACTCATTACCTTCTAAGGTTTCTTAACAGTGATCCTTGGAATAGATGTTCCATGCATGTGTCCTTCAAAGTTGACAAATGGCATGCGCTGACGTTTATCTTGTCCAGGGCACACAGCGCATGACTGATTAGCTGAAGGCACTAGCCTTGTATGTGGAAATATACCTGTGAAAGATGAGCTGCTCATTTAAGCAACAGTAATTGAAGAAAATCTTGTTGTTCTAGTTAGCCAGGGTGCACTTTAGCCCAACTGGAAAACTGGCTGCAAGGCGGATGGTATGCAAAACATCCCATCTCCAACAATCTAGCAAGAGTGGATGTGTCTAGTTTACTATAGAGATGCTGAAATTAGGGAGTTATGTTGGGAAGATATGGTCCTTGCGGACCTGAAGTTTACCTTATGTCCACACAAATCCTATACCTGCGTTACTGTCCCACTATAGCATTTAGTACATGTGAGTTTTCCTCTAATTAGTCACATAGTAGCTGTTAATTACTTCTGTTATTAGTCATCTGCTTTTAACCAAGAGTTCCCAGGAAAACGTCCCACGTCATCATTACAGTAATCTGCTTTATGAAAGATGGACACTTCATCTGTGAGATATGCTAAACTGCTGATAGTTCTTGGAATTGTTTGGGCTACTGCAGATGGAATACTGGCTCCTTCTTAACGTGCTTTAAGAGGAAAGTGGGAGACAGTTGCCCTCTGGCTTTCTCTATGCCAGTATTGTGCTCAGTATTCATAAACACCCTGCTTTTCCATATAGCAGGGGTAGCGAAACTCAGATGGTGCATGGGTAGGCGCAGTCCCATGAACCAGAAGAACAGCAAATTTCTGTACGCCCTAAGCAAGAGCTGATAATCGGAATCCAAACTGCTGCTTAAGAAAGGGATGATCAAAGTTCTTATCCTGGGTTTGAAAAAGGAGCCATTCTCAAGCAGCAGGGGAATTCCCACACAGTGAAATTCCAAAATGTTTTAAAGTAAAATTGTAATAAGGTAAACTCTCATTTAAATATAATAAACACCATGTCATTTCTCCAAAGTCAAGTTATTAATTACATCTAAAGTCTGTATAGACAGAGACAGTGGTTTAGAGCAGGGGTTGGGAAATCTTTGCAGCAAGAGGGCCCCACTTCCTCCTGAGCAACCTTCCAAGGACATATCAGTGGTGGGTGGGGCTAGAGGCTTCTGAAATGTTCGACAACCGAGGCGTGGCTTCCAATTGGTTGCAGGAGCTTCCTGCACTCAAGCGGAAGCTGCGTCAGACATTTGGCTTCCAAAAAACTGGAGCATTTACTTCTGGGTTTTCAGCATTCGGGATCTGAGGTTTGACCGTAGAGGAAACCTCTTTTGCTGATCTGCTTTTGTGCTCAAAGTAAACTGCTGGCCCAAGTAAAGCTGGGTTTTCCTGAGGGCAGAGGTCAAAATCTCTTATGAATATTTTGCGTCAAATGCCAGGAGTCACATACCTAAAAAATCCTTTGCAGCCTTCGCAGGTCATAGCATTAAAATGAAAGCCAGTAGCTTTGTCTCCACAAACACCACAGATACGTGGAATGTTCCTGTCAAAGTCACTGGCCGGATCCGGAAATGCTGAGCAAGGTGCCATGGTCTCCATTTCTGTGACAGAGAAAAGTGCAGAGTTTATAAACCTCAATACAACAGTCTTTTCAGCTATAATCTACATGGTAATCATAATCAAATATCATAATCTATGTAGCAAAGACTCTGCAGAAGCTAGTAAGAATCCCCACTCCATTTTCTGATCTGCTTACGAATACTCAATTGGAATATAGCAAAATACTTAATTCATGATATACATGTCATTGATAAACATCCCTTCCAGAACAATCAACAGCTAAGATGGTTTCATTTTCTCATCTTCACATAGACCACTGCGTTACAGACAACACAGGTTGCAGCAAAATCCAGGATTTTGGGGGGGATTGAACATCAAAGTAAAACACGCTTGGGTGGAAGGCTCACATCACACCTTGTTTCTGCTGTGGTGAGTTAGGCTGCTAAAGAAGGCTGCAAAACAAGGATGCTGTTTTGCCAACCATCCTGCACCCAGCATGGTATGCATTCAGCGAAATGATAATCCCGACACTCTTATCATCAGATGACAGTGAAGAGAGGAGAGCTGGTGTCTAAAAGATCATCGACTTTATGGGCAGAGATGATGACGTCTGAGGAAGACAGCTTCCATCAACCCCAGTGGTTTGTCCCTGGTGGAGCTGATGGACTGGTCTGACAGGGTAGATGAACCTCCTTTGACATGCAAACTTACTACAGTAGAAGTAAAGAAGTTCGTTGACGAGACTATGCAAGTTCCACAGTGACCCTGCCATGCTCAGACTTTAGAGAGGTATGTGAAACAAGTCACAGAGGCAGCAGGCAGGGTGTATTCATATGAGAAATGTGAGGGCTACATCAGAGGTCAAGGAGCAAGTTGGCAGCTGATGTCTAAGCATGAATCAGGACTTGATGAAACTTGTAATTTAAATTTCCTATTTACTTTCTAATGTTGTTTTAGGTTTACAAGGTGATGTTGTATGCTTAGTCAGATATGTTTTATGCAGAGAAACTAATTTTTATAGCATTATCTGACACAGTCACTGTCAGCAGGTATAATTAAAATTCTTTGCTTTTGCGAGAGCAAAGAGGATGTGCTTGCAGGCTTCCCACAAACATATGGTTGGTGGCTGTGAGAAAAGGATGTTGGACTAGATAGGCATTGGCCTGACCCAGCAGGCTCTTGTGGATGGCATGCTCAGCTGGTAAAATGTGCCTATATGCAAGGATGGATATCATTCCAATGATGATGTGACCCTGGCAGAATTGTTTGATCAGACACAGATCTGCCCCAATCACACATAAAATATATGGAGGATTCCGAATGTTAAGAGCCAGCGAGAAGAGCTAAACTCTTACTTTGTGCTTTCAGTTCCGGTACTATGGAGAAAAACACCTGGGTGACAGACTCTGACTGTGAGGAGATAAGCCCTGAGGTTTCAGTGAATTTCTTTTGGTCTAAAAATGGTTTTCCACCTCCTACTTTGTACATGGTTGGGGCAGACCCAGTTTTAAACAAATGGGTTTGCTACCATCGCATGTAGTTTGAGCAAGAAGAATCTAGTTGCAACAACCCTTTATCCTATGACATGCATTTCAGGGGCTTCACATTCTTACTTTTAAACCTATTATTATTCTTCCTCTATTATACTGTATTCAGTTTTCTGCTGATTGGGTCTGGCTAAGAGCAATTGAAAACTGTTTTTAAAAGAAGAAGAAATGGATGAACTTACTGAATCAACAGTTCCCTTTTCCACTTTAAATGGAAATTCAGATTTATTCTTGACTACAGACCTAACCCGACTCCTTTGCAAGTAAGGCAAACATTGACAGTCTGCCCAAATAGGAAGTGCACTTATTAGTTACTATGTTAACTGCATGTCTAAGTTTGTACTAATCAATGATGGGCTGTTGACCTTTGAATGTCACTATTTCCATTTAAAACTTAGACTTAATATCTGAAACAGCACGTTAACATTCAATAAAGTTATCTTTCCTCTTTCATAAATTTAACAATGCTCAGATAGCAGGAAGGAGTGTTGCTTAGTTACTGTGCTGGTGGCTAAGAGGGGGACTTTCTAAAACATGATATTTATCACTTGTTTGCTTTCACTACTGACAGAGAAACAATTATATTTTGCAGCCAAAATGGGATTGTCAGATAGTGCTTTGTTAGCTGGGTAGAAACAAAACAGACTGCTACAGTCATTTTACTTAATAAATAGAACATGAGATATTAAAGCCTTAAAGGGGCACAGCTCTTTGAGCTGGCTATATTTTTTTTCATTCAGATAACTGAAACTAGCCCAACAAAGGCTATAAAGGTAAAGGTAAAGGGACCCTTGACCATTAGGTCCAGTCGTGACCGACTCTGAAGTTGCAGCGCTTATCTCGCTTTATTGGCCGAGGGAGCCGGCGTACAGCTTCCGGGTCATGTGGCCAGCATGACTAAGCCGCTTCTGGTGAACCAGAGCAGCGCACGGAAATGCCGTTTACCTTCCCGCTGGAGTGGTACCTATTTATCTACTTGCACTTGACGTCCTTTCGAACTGCTAGGTTGGCAGGAGCAGGGACCAAACAACGGGAGCTCACCCTGTTGTGCGGATTCGAACCGCCGACCTTCTGATCGGCAAGTCCTAGGCTCTGTGGTTTAACCCACAGCGCCACCCGCGTCCCAACAAAGGCTATAAAACAGCTCAAATATCACCTCAGAATGTTAAATGGCTTTTCTGATGTATTGGAATAGGTTCCTTGTGGAAGCCATGCCAGTCATATAACCTAGGATGGCAGATTAATATTCCAAATTGTTATTAGCCTTTGCTAATATCTCATATTTTTGTTTTATCTCCTCAGGGTTGATTAAGGGTGGATTAAATATTGGCAGCAAATACAAAAGGAGCCAACAAAATCTACAAAAGGAGCATATCCATTTGGTGTCTTACTGAACTGGTAAATTGCTAGTGTAGAAATACATCTGGAAGATGAGAGTTGAATTCATGCTCTACTAGAAAGAGCAAAGCTGGTTATGAATATAGACAATTAATCATTTCAAACGGGCTTCAGCCCAATTTGTAACTTTTTCAGCACACAATGTAAACTGATCAGCTGCAAATTTCCAGTTATTTAAATGATCAAATAGGTAACTTGATTTTGGAGTCTGAACAATAACTTTGAATACTCTACTCACTGATAGGTGTTCATATGTGCCTGTTTGAGATGTGACTAAATACTTGCATAAGAAACCAACACTACACTATGTATTAGATTTGTAGCCAAACCCATCCCAACAGCAGCCATGATGTAATAAATCAGGACAAAATCCAATTCCCCCATCCCCAAACCTGTTGCCTCAGCTGCCCCCCAAAGTAAGATAAACTTTAATTCCCACTCCCCATCCTCTACAGATATTCTGCAGAATAGCAAGGTGGGGAATGGGGAACCTCTTCAAGATTCACTGGTCTTCCTAACAAGGATACACATGTTAACAACGTTTATTTTTTATATAGCACGTCAGAGGGTATTCAAAGCATTCTGATTACAGTGCTGCAGTTAGGATTATAACAAAACAAATGTTAAGGCATGTCAATGCTGTTGTCTGCATTTTGCAGATGAAGGGCCAATGCCAAAAGAGAGACAGAGAGAAAGGCATGCCAGCTCATAGCAGAGAGAGGTCACCACACCATTTAAAGTGCACTGCTTTCCCCAAAGAATCCTGGCATCTGTAGTTGACCGCTCACAGAGCTACAATTCCCAGCACCCTTAACAAACTACAGTTCCGATAATTCTTTGGAGGAAATCATGTGGGGCTTTAAATGTATGGTGTGGATGTGGCCTGAATTCGTAGCAGAGGCAAGACTGAAGACACGCTGATCCTTAGGTCAGTCTCTTTGCTAGAAAAGCATTAATGTAACTTGAAAGCTTGCACACTTCTACTTCAACAAATAGCTAGTCCCATCTGAAATGACACTACTTTTTAATCAGAGACCAACCCAACATAATCTGCAGAGAAACAAAACAAAATGCATGTAAGAAGTGGACAGTTCAGACAAGCCTCAAGGAGCACATTATTTTTTATTTTGTTTTCTTCATATTTTTTTTAAAGCCAAGATGACATAATTTTAATAACACACAATTCTCCCTTTGCTGACCGAGGGAAAGAGACAAACTTATTAAAATTGAATAAATAGTTTGCAAAGGAGTGATATACTTTACCAATATCCAGGTCATTTTGTATACTCTGCTGGTATAATTCCCACGAGTTCTGAAACTGCGACATTGAGCCACCTGTAAACCAAAAATATTTAAGTTTGATTTAATATCCAACGGCTGTCAAGGCAGTTTGGTAATCTCACACTCTGCTTTGAGTTTGGAAACTTACTCTAGCTTTTAACTCTCATCTATTGACGTAAGCAACATACATTAAAAAGTGAGGCGTGGCACTCTGCAAACAATCCACCACACCCAAATGGGATTCATTAAACAGAAGGTGTCATTTCAGTACAGCTTCTCAGGAACTTCTATCAGCATAGAGATAATGCTAACCACATGGTACATTATTCCCAGCAGCATACCACATAATTTAGAAGAATTTTCAATAAGAAACTGCATTTACACATAGGGGAGTCTTTGCTATGGGGGCAAGGGAAGGAAGACTTTCCCATTTCAGATCACTGCTACTTAACAGCTAAAAAGAAAACTAATGCCAATGAATTGAAGCATCTCTCAGATTCACTATTCATCTGATAAGTATTTTAAAATAGGATTTTTGTAATGGTAAGGAAACAGTACAGCACGCCTCTGTAAAGGCTGGCATTTAAGGGGTTTTCCCGATTTTACCTTACATAACCACAGAATCATAAAATTGTAGAGTTGGAAGGAACCCCAGTGGTCATCTAGTGCAATTCCCTGCAATGTAAGGACCACGACTAAAGAATCCCAACTGCTAATTAATCAAGATTTGTAGGCAATGTAGAAAATGTGTGGTATGTCACCCATGCTACTACCTTAGCCTGCTCTGAATTTGACTTAGGTTTCTCACAATATCCATGGCTGCCAAGCTACAGCAAGGTAGTATGCTAGCAGGTTTTGACAATGTTCAGGCAACATCCTGTAGCTGTTTGTATTTGTGTGTGTGCTGTACATATGTGGTGTGCATGCATGTGCTTGTGTGTATGCATATTGCGTATACACATACACACAAGACTCACTATCACCAAGTTCATCCCAAATATTTAAAACACTGACATCTAGGAATCTGAAGACCTTTTCAGGCCCATGTTTTTGCAAATTTTAGTTAAAATCTTTATTGCAACCCACTGATAAGACAAGGTAGTCTTCGTTCTTCTACCTGCATCTTGATGATAATACTTTCCAAAAGCAGCACAAGATTCAAACAAGTATTATTACAAAGGAATTAATGCATTGTGTACTGACCATCTCTCATGAGTACTCTCTCCCCTTTTTTGTTTTGCAGGTAAGTCAATGGAGAGCACCATCTTTCAATGGCATTAAAAAGCACCTGCTTATTCTTCATCTAGATTCTAGAACTCTGCTCTATTTTTCAGTACAATATACAGTGGTGCCTCGCAAGACGAAAATAATCCGTTCCGCGAGTCTCTTCGTCTAGCGGTTTTTTCGTCTTGCGAAGCAACCCTATTAGCGGCTTAGCGGCTTAGCGCTATTAGCGGTTTAGCGGCTAAAAGGCTATTAGCGGATTAGCGGCTTAGAAAAGGGGGGGGCGAAAAAAATCGCAAGACTCGCAAGACGTTTTCGTCTTGCGAAGCAAGCCCATAGGGAAAATCGCCTTGCGAAGCAACTCAAAAACGGAAAACCCTTTCGTCTAGCGGGTTTTTCGTCTTGCGGGGCACCACTGTACATACTAATATATATCAATTTAACTCACTTTAATCCCTCCTGACCATGCTATCAGTTTGTGTCGACAGACAACCAAGAAGCCTGATAAAAGACAGGCAAGATGGCTACTACTAATCTAAGCATATTTCAGTTGGATCCATCATACCTCTGACCTAGGACAAACATTGAATTATTACTTTTTAAGCATAGCACAAAGGTCACACCAAATAAATGTAGTAAATCTGAACAGGAAAATATATATATTTTTTCTGAAAGATATGATTAAATGTACGGAAACTATCTTTCTGCAAAAGACACACTGCAAAACAAACTGCCTCCATCAGGAATTGGGGCATCTGTTCTCAATTGTTGAGCTCTTTCAGCTCCACAAAACCAAAGCCCTATCTCATTTTGGAATTAAGGAACACTTTCTCTCAGTTACTGGGCAATATGATACCAAGTAATGTTTAAATACACAGGGTGTAACATTCAGGTCCCACAGAGCACAATGTTTCCTCTAACCACCACCAGATATATTTAAATTTGCTTTTGAAGCTAGCACTTGCAAAGTCTGGCATCTATTAACAGACTTTGAGCTGGTTCACTGGGTGCAAGAAAACCAAAGTTATTGGCCTAAGTTCTCAGCTTCCAGCCCTGCCATTCTAGGGCCAACACACTACCCAGGAGCTGGGTCAACGTAGAGCACCACAGAAACTTTGATTAATTGTTGCTGATATGAACTACATTAAAGTAGGAGCCTTTCAGATCACTAGTACACTGTCCTTAACAATTTCAGGAAGCAGGGCCTCACTTGTGGTGAGTCCAGTAATCAGACATTCCCTGAACAATCAGACATTCCCCAAAATGCCATCAATTGGACCACAGTTGACTTCTGCATTTGACTGGCAATGCTTTAAAGTAACAGAAGGGGAACTTATGTAGTAGAAATGTACTTCAGATAACATCAGAAGACACTCTTTGTAAACCACCTTATTCATGTTGCTTTGACTTAAGGAGGTTTTATTTAAAAGGCCCAACTCTCACAACACAACTATTCTCTTCTTCCAGGAAGGGCACAATTAATCAAATTCTTTAATAAGTAGTTCTGGTTCTGGTTCTAGCACCTCCAGGTCACTTACCCTTCCCTTGGGCCATATTGGTCCTGGTAAAATTTTGTTCTCTATCATGGTCAAAACAGATTGCATTAGAGATAACAGGAAGGTTTTCACGACCAAGGTCAAAGCTATCTACAAAGCCTTCAAATGATTTTACTACAGGGCCTGCTGCTTCTTTCCCCGTAATAGGTGAATCTGCTAGAGCGTAAGACTCTAAGTCTTAGGGTTGTGGGTTCAAGTCTCTTACTGAAATATCTTATGAACAAGCATTTTAAATAGTTTATAATCCTTGCATTAAAACTGGAGAAGCTCACGGGCCGCCTCCAAAACTCCACCCTAGGTAACATAGGAGCATCTTCCATGAAAATCTTTAAAGGAGTGATGGGAGTGGAATGATACATACACTTGCAGCAAACAACTGGCAATGGATTAGCTGCATGCCAATACACACACACACACACACACACACACACACACACTGCTAATAGGTTTCTGTAACACTCAAGAAATCTACTCTGCATCCAAGAATCACCTTTCTGCATTCCAAGTTAGCAGGAAGTCAAGATAGCAACTTTCCTGGCCCCAGTAGTATACAGTGGTGCCTCGCAAGACGAAAATAATCCGTTCCGCGAGTCTCTTCGTCTAGTGGTTTTTTCGTCTTGCGAAGCAACCCTATTAGCGGCTTAGCGGCTTAGCCCTATTAGCGGTTTAGCGGCTATTAAAGGCTTAGTGGCTAAAAGGCTATTAGCGGCTTAGCGGCTTAGAAAAAGGGGGGAGCGAAAAAAATCGCAAGACTCGCAGGACGTTTTCGTCTTGCGAAGCAAGCCCATAGGGAAATTCGTCTTGCGAAGCAACTCAAAAACGGAAAACCCTTTCGTCTAGCGGGTTTTTCGTCTTGCGAGGCATTTGTCTTGCGGGGCACCACTGTACTTTATTTCGGTCATAGACCAGCATAAGATAAAACATACGAATAAACTGAACACTTAAGACTTAAAACAGGTAAGGAATCAAAACTAGTAATTAAAATATCATACATACCGGTACTTAAAAAGATAGAAACAGGGACAAACAGTTAAAAGCGACTATAAGGGAGGGAGAGTGAAGGGGTCCAGGCCTTGCATTTGGGGCCTAGTTTGTGGCACAAACCATCCTTCGACGAAAATCCATCATTGTAGCACAGAATCTAGCAACTGAGTATGTAACATCTGGGTTTTTATCTTGAAGTAGCAGGGAGGTATAAAGTTGTTCTGTGTAACCTGGGAATTTATGTATAGGCAAGATGAACCTAGCTCATATACATTCATAAGGTAAAGGTACCCCTGCCCATACGGGCCAGTCGTGTCCGACTCTAGGGTTGTGCGCCCATCTCACTTAAGAGGCCGGGGGCCAGCGCTGTCCGGAGACACTTCTGGGTCACGTGGCCAGCGTGACAAAGCTGTTCTGGCGAGCCAGCACCAGCGCAGCACACGGAAACGCCGTTTACCTTCCCGCTATAAAGCGGTACCTATTTATCTACTTGCACTTAAGGGTGCTTTCGAACTGCTAGGTGGGCAGGAGCTGGGACCGAAAGACGGGAGCTAGGCACTGAGGTTTTACCCACAGTGCCACCCGCGTCCCTTCCATATACATTCATACCTCGGGATAAATATGCTTCAGGATAAGTATTTTCGGGTTACACTCCGTGGCAACCCGGAAGTTAACGGAGCTCATTACTTCCGGGTTTTGCTGCTCATGCATGCGCAGATGGTCAAAATGACCTCACGTGCATGCGCGGAAGCGACGAAACACGACCCGCGCATGCGCAGACACGCTGTTGCATCTTACGTTCTGTTCAGGATGTGAATGGGGTTCCGGAATGGATCCCGTTCGCATCCCGAGGTACCCTGTATCTGTATAGTATTGGAAGTGAAAAAAGACATGTTCTGTTGTTTCCAGTTGCCCAGAGCCACATGGGCATTAGGTGTCTTCCAAAAGTGACCTTCCTGGATGGCTAAAGGGATGGCCTGGCAGCAGTGAAAGCCCTCCACTATTTTGGAATTTCAAGGTTGGTTATATATGGCATCCATAGTTTCAATGTTTCCCTTTTTTTAAGGGAAATTCCCTTATTCTGAATAGGATTCCTCGCAAGAAAAGGGAAAAGTCGACAGCTATGATGGCACCTGGGAGATGAGGTGTCTTCTAGTTTCACTGATTCAAATTTCCAGGGACCTGGCAAGATCTGCTTGGAGTTTGGTATCTTCCACACACTGTTGGATGGTGTGTGTTTTTGCTTCTTCATACCCCATGTTACGTAGGATCTGTGGGGTGAAGCCTAGA